GTGTCCCACATCTGTGCGTCTGAAGAGGGCATGTGTCTGTGTCCCACATCTGTGCGTCTGAAGAGGGCATTTGTCTGTCTGCGTGTCCCACATCTGTGCATCTCGAGAGGGCGTTTGTTTGTCCGTGTGTCCCTTTCAGCTGGTGGTCACTGTCCTCCTATTGGGATGGCAGCTGCTTTCAGGGGTGGGATCACATGGTCCACCTCCATTCTGATGTTTTGACTGGATGAGGTAGAACTTAATTGTGGTTTTAAAGTATAAAACATCCAGACAGCAAGCAGCTCCTGGTCTGCTGGGACAGGGTGGCCTGCAGGTCTCAGCTGGCTGTTGTAAAAGGCCCCTGCTGCCTGTGGGACTCTGGTGTCTGGGAGAGACTCAGGAGCCAAGGGCCAGAGCAGCAGGGGGCACCATGGGCAGATGCCTCCCAGGCTCCCCTGCAGTCTCAGTCCCCAAAGGACCACCCAGCACTGGGGGATTAATGGGCCCGCTGTGACTGAAATCCCAGATGGGGGCAGAGACAGGGATACTTTCCTTTTCTCTTTTTCAAAGAATTCTCTTCTGAGAAGAGGTTTCTGGTGATGGAAATGTGATCCGTGCTCATGTAGAAAAGCTGGTGTACCAACCTGGTGTGGTCTGACCACACACCATTGGCCACAGTGACCGTCCTGCTTCTAGAAGGCTGTGGAAAGCGGGGAGCTCCTCACAGATGACGAATGTGGGCCCTGTTATCTGACGCTTTGTTTGGGTCACAAATGTCTCCCCCGTCCTCGTGGCCTGTTGTCTGTTTCTATCAAACCCTCTTGCGGAGTGTCTCTCCCACTCCTGGTTCCCGCTGCTGCACATAAGTTCAGCAGACGCCTGGCCTGCCTGCTGAGTCGGGCTTCCCGAGTGGAGGGTGAGGGGTGCCTCTACCCTGGGCCTGCTCTCCCACCTGGGTGAATTTATGCCGCAGATGCGCAGAGGGGTCTTTACTGCAGCGTGTCTGGCTCAAGCAGTAAATTTCAGCTCTAGGCCACCCTGGTGGCTCAGAGAGGACGCGGTTCCCATGAGGCATGCTGGAGAACACGGGCCGAGGGGGCCTGGAGGCAGGGCAGCTTGTGTGCCCTTTCCACGAGAGGTCAGCGCAGGCTCGTGTCCGTGTGGCCAGCCAGGGCCACCAGAGATGGTGATTTCCGTGGGTTTGGGGTCCTCCTGTGGAGCGGTGTCCTTCCTTGGTGCCCACCAACACCGGGCCCCTTGCAGCCCCGCCCTCGAGGTCCTGCACCTCTGTGACAACGATAATCCGGAAACCCCCCAAGTGCTGACCCCTGGCGGGCTGCGCAGACCCCAGTGCCTCCGGAGCCCGAGCACCGCCCACACATCCCTGTGTCCGTGCAGGGCGCTGACGGATGAGGGTGATGTTCCTCCCCCACGTTGGCTTGTGGACGTGGTCAGTTGTCTGGATAGTAAACAGGAAACGCACAGCAGTGTCTACTGTGGGCAGAGCGGCCGAGCAGATGGGGACGGTTTGGCTAGACAGACGGATGAGCAGTCCATGGAAGGGCAGAGGTTTTGTGATCTGTCCGGGCAGCCACCCCCTGAGGGACTTAGCCAGTGTCCTTTGACCTTGTTCTTACTCAGTCTCATGCCAGCTCTGGAGCCCGCCCTACACTCCCCACAGTACAGAGGAGGGGCCCAGGCTCAAAGCCGTGCTGGCCACCTGACCCAGGCCTGCCTGTGACCCCAGGCCTCCTCCAGGAGACTCAGTGCCACAGGATGGTGCCCACCCCCTGTGCCCCTTGTCCTGTGTCCCTTCACCGTACCCCTGTACTCCACGTCCCTGCACCCACCCCCTGCGCCCCTCATCCTGCATCCCTGCCTGCACCTCCTGCACTCCACATCTCTGCACCCACCCCTGCACCCCTCATCCTGCATCCCTGCATGCACCGCCACACTCCACGTCCCTGCACCCACCCCCTGCGTCACTGCATGCACCCCCGCACTCCCCGTCCCTGTACCCATGCCTTGCACCCCTCATCCTGTGTCCCTGCAAGCACTCCTGCACTCAGCATCCCTGCACCCACCCCTTGCACCCCTCATCCTGTGTCCCTGCATGCACCTCCCACACTCCACGTCTCTGCACCCACCCCCTGCAGCCTGCATCCCTGTACTCACCCCTGCGCCGTGTCCCTGTACCTGCACTCCTGTACCCCATGTCCTGTGTCCCTGTACTCCACCCTCGTGCCCTGTGTTCTGCAGACTTGTACCCTATGTCCCCACATCCCTGTATCCCACACCATGAGTCCCTATGTCCCACCCTTCATACTCCGCACCCACCCCATGCCCCACATCCCCACACCCCACACATCCCTGCACCCCACATGCCCATGCCCCACATCCAAGCATACTGTGACCCTGCTCCATGTCCTGCTTCCCTGTACCTCACCTCAACGTCCTGTGCCGCGCGTCCTTGCACCGCATGTCCCCATGTTCCTGTATCCCACACCCCGTGTTCCAGTACCCCACACGTCCCTGTATCCCACACGTCCCTGTACCCCACACGTCCCTGCAGCCCACACATCCCTGCACCCTACACGTCCCTGTACCCTGCATCCCTGTGTCCCCATGCTTCCCTGGACCCTCCTGTTCCACGCACCGCTGTCCTGAGGGCAGTGTGCTGGCAGCCCTGGGAGCAGAGAGGCCAGTGCACTGAGGCAGAGCAGTGGGCGAGGAGGCACACCGAGCGCAGGGCATGCTGGGCAGTGTGCGGATGGTGCAGCAGCCCCGTGGGGGAGCCACACTGTGCAGTCCCTGTGTCCTGGGGATGTTTGGGGTGGGGGCTTGGTCCTCTGTGGTGGGGGAATGGCGACAGTGACAATGAAGGTCAAGGTCAGCTTTGTGCTGGGAGTGCACTGAGGGTCTCGTGTGCGCCTCCCACAATGTGGGGCTCGGTGAAGTGAATACCAGTGTCACAGGTGGGAGCTGGGATGGGCCATGCTCTGTGCAGGAGAAGGGAGGAGGGAACGGCGGCCAGCAGTAGACTTGTGCCCCTCTCTAGCCCCATGCCCACTCCAGCTCCTCTCCAGCCCCCTGCCCCCCTTCAGCCCCTCTCCAGCCCGCCTCCAGCCCGCCTCCAGCCCTCCTCCAGCCCC